ATTCCTCCTCTGTCTCACAGCCACCACCATCCCCACCCTCACAACCCCAAGTCCTCCACCAGCCCACCCTATCATGAAGTCATGCTAATGGAGAGTCTACCGCCCCCTGGCTGCTCTTGCAGGGATTGCAGCATCAGGAGAGAAGAAGCATCAGTCGCCTATCACAGCCTCAGGCTTGATCGGGGCAACGGCTATCACTGGGACAGAGAGGCAGAACTTCAACAGACGGGGCTACGAAGAACCAGGGAGGCAGAATTAGTCCGAGGGGGATCGGAGAGCCATTGGGAGAGGCGCGGCCGAGAGTTCTCTCTCCCTTGGGAGAGAGACAGAGAGGCGGAGCTCCAGTGGGAAAGGGAGAGAGAGGCGGATTACTGGCACAAGAGGGACACCGTGGCTTCCTATGGGCCGCAGGGCCACAATCACCACGCCTTCACCTTTGACCCCTTGCCATCATGTCACCCTGGCTATCCGGAGCCTTCACGGTCCCATGCTCATTCGCACCTCGACCTCAAGTACAGCAGCAGTAGCAGCGGCTACCAAACGCCCCGGCAGGCATGCCCGTGCTCGCCTTACCAGCCGTCACCGTCTGAAAGCAGGGGCTATGCCTCAGGGTACCAGTCCGAGTCCACTTCGCCTTTGCCACCCGCGTCCTCCATGATGGGACCCTGTAGCCATAGCAGTGGTTCTGCTGAGCATAATCCCAGTCACCACCGTCACCATCCGGACGCACAGCAGCCATACAGCTCCGACTCACATGCGGGTGAGCCACGCTTTTCATTGACATTCATGACTTTCATTGCTGTTTTATTTCTTGCCACTGATGAATTCCGTGATGTCATTTGGCAGACGGTATTCGTAACTCAGGTGAAAGTGTGGGCTGGAGGGACCACATCACCAATGGTTCTTTTAAAAGAGGCCACAGAGAAGGCCACGGCGCATGCTCTACCCCATCAGACATGTCCGGACCATCCACTCCCGTCCATACAAGCAGTCCTCTGCGTACGCAGGAAAGGTATGAGACTTGTTTGAAAAGTTTCTGTGATGACCAATGCCAAGCCAGTGTAAGGTTGCAAATATTGTGTTGTTCATAGTAATACAGCAAGCTCTATGATCAACTGAATGCTAAAACACCGTTATTGTAACTATCATTAAGCGTTCATCACACGACTTTAACTTTTCTGCTTCCAACTTTGTGGGAACAGTTTGGGGAAGACCCTTCTCATCAACCATCATGAGTGGGATTTTTCATGTGAAATTTAAATACCTTCCAATTGTATTGTCAGCATTGGATCCAGATGAAACTAGCGGCTTCAGAAACTGCCGGCAGATTCTTTTTTTTCTGATTTTGGTCTGGGCTCCACATGGATATAATTTAATTCTAATATCCTTGAAAAAAAATCACTCTCAACAATTTGGGAGCTCTGAACCATCAAGTACAGTGAATTCTGTTATTCTTTTCTTTTGGATGAAGGGACTAAAAAAAAAAAAAAAACAAAAACAAAAAAATGGTGCAGAAATTTTTCGAGCGGAAGATGTTAAAATTGTAACTGCAACTCCGTGGTTTTGTCTATGTTGACTTTAGAGTTATAATGGCAAGCGCCCCAATGTTTGTCCATATAGCGCTATAATCTTTATTATCTTTAGTAGTCTATACATTATTGCGTAAACAATCTCAAATGTTTCATGACATTTGCTGTTGGCTTTCGAATGGAGGGTAAAAGTTTGCGTTGTTGTCATATCCTGGTACTTTGTCCCCAATAATGTAATATTACAACATTAATATCTACCCATATATATTTTAGTCCCAGTCCAGGAAGAGAGTACGGGATCCGGAAAACAGTCATCAGCAGTGACCACGAGGCATCACAGCCCCAGGATGGGCAGTACTCTTCTGGTAACGTCATCCAGGTGGCCACGGAGACCCCAAGAAGCACCTCACCAATGAAAAGCCAACCGTCAAACACAACCTCACTCACTCAAACAGACTCGCACAACCACTGCACTGCACCAACTGCTCCGCTCCCGGCAACAACCCCCCCACAGCAGCACTGTAACCATGGCGGACAATCATCAACACAGAATAGTCGTTCGGACTCTGTGATGACAACCGTGTCTGTCCAGACCTCACCTGCACCGGCTCACCATTCCCAACATCCTACTTTGGAGACCCCTCATCCGTCCGAGGCTGCCGCGGTGCCTTCCTCGTCGACTCAGGCAGTGTGTCACCCTCCAAGCCAAACCCAGGCCACCAACTCGGTAGCCAGTCACTTACCGCAGGTGAATGGATGTTCTTCTCCAACCAGGGGTTCCCTCCCTGAAGTCCCCAAATCTCCCAGCGGCCCCAATTCTACAAGTTCCCACGCAGCCCCCACACCTTCGTTGTCTTCAACCCAGGCCGCGTCCAGCAGCATGGAAGGATCTCCCGTTTCAGAGAGCCCTGTTCCTGGCTTTGCCACTTTGGGTAGGAAGTTGATGATGAGCGGCTCTGACCTCCACCATCACAACCAGATTCCCGTCCACCACGGACCCCCTCAACACCCCTACCCAAGAATGGAACACAACCCGCCAATAGACATCAATAAGAGACACTACTACTCTGCTCACCCCCCGCAGCTTCATCAAATATCTGTCTCCAACTACTCCACTATCTCCATACCACTTCCTCACCCGCAGCCTCCTCTCCCGGAGAAACGGCATCATCAACCCGGCTCACCCGCCGAAGACGCGGAGGCTCCGAAACCAACCGTGAGCCACTCCAACAATACTCAGCATCAGCATCATGTCACCTTCTCGCCAACCGTGGGGGAAATTGCACCCAGTGAGAACCAAAGTGATGTTGGCTCTGAGGAGCCTGAGAATGGAAACAGAGTCAGTGTCAAGTTTGTCCAGGACAGTTCGAGGTTCTGGTATAAGCCAGGCATCTCCAGAGAGCAAGGTAGGTTTGAAAAGAGGATGTTGATGTGACATGGAACATTCTTAATTGTTGTACAAATGTTAAAAAAAATCCTCAACAAAACACTATAGCTTAACTTTGACATTGGTTAAGGTGGATGGTTACTTAACTTCTGATGTATATTATTTTACTGATCCGGTCGCGTTCTCTTTCCACTCATTGTTGAAGGTTCTCCTTGTAATGTATGTGTTGCAAAAAAAAAAATACGGCGACGAAAAATGTAAGTGCGTTAATCTTGTGATGCTTACTGGACTGTGCTCTCTTGGGGGTGCAATGATATTGTACGCTGGTTCGAACTCTGAAGTTTTGAGTTACTATAGAGCAGGGGTGTCAAACCCATATTTGTGGGTGGGGCCACTAGGGCCGTTATGAGAGCGAAACCACCAAAATTTTAATCGTCTCATGGTGTTATTACTTGTACACAGGACATAAATGGATGACTTTGAAATCAGTCATATCAACGATGATGTTTTGCTCAATTATTGTTCAAGTGAGTGTAAACGGGGTCACAAAATTATTGCAAAATGACAACAGTATTTATTACTTGTGACAATTTGACATTTCAGTACAGATTTTAGCAAGCTGACACAGGTCATTTTCTATTGTGGGCCACATAAAATAATATGGCGGGCCAGATCTGGGCCCCGGGCCTTGAGTTTGACACCCGTGCTTTAGAGGCATTTTTTTTTTAAACTTATATATTCCACTGTAATTCTTTGTCTTTTAACTTTAGGACAATTTTTAAAATGAGCAGTCTCTGTGACATAACACGCTGAGTCACGATCATCCTAACATTTTGGTTTTGCTTCATCGTAGCAATCGTTGCTTTGAAGGAGAGAGAGCCTGGGACCTTCCTGATCAGAGATAGTAATTCCTTCCAAGGTGCTTATGGCCTGGCACTGAAGGTGGCCACACCTCCTCCTAATGTCAACCAGCACAGCAGTAAAGGTAAAGTGAAAAGAAAAATGCATGTACTGTATACAGTGTGCTACTGTCGGCCACGGCTCACACCTAAACTCTCGGGTCACTGTATGTTTATTATTGTGGTTGTAGTTTGCAGTAGTGTCAAATTGCTATGAATGTAAATTAGAATCACAACTAAACTTGGCACTATCTCCTCTTCGGATTGTGTTTAGTGTACAGTGGTACCGCTACTTATGAAATGAATTGTTTCTGGAAGAAATTTCTTAACAAGAACATTTTGTAAGTAAAGACGCGTTTTCCATGTAAATGCCCTAATCCGTTCCAAGCCTCCCAAAATTCAGACATAAATGTTTTCTAAAACATTAAAATGCATCAAAATATGTAACACATACATGTTACAATTAGATTATTGCACAATAAATGAGAGTTGTGCATAATGTAAAAAACAAAGAATGGAGTAAAGAATAAAAATGATGGTCATTTAAGATTTAAGATAACCTTTATTTGTCCCACATTGGGGAAATTTTCAACTTTTTTCGAATTTGCATTTAACTTCTAACTGCCTCTTCATTTTTGCCCTCTTTAGCTCATGTTCTCTCTCAGAAGTGGTTTTTGTCTGGCGTTTTGTAAAGAACTGATCCAAGGACCATTGCTTTTGTCGGCTTTTAACAACCCTTCGAAAGTGTCCAAGGCAAACATCATCATGCTGAGCGATCGCCCGACTGGTGAACACTTTTTCTGGGTGATTCACATTTATGGAAAACTATCCGAACACCTCAGCGCCAGAGGGTCAAATGACCAGGACGCTGCATACACACATCTGTCTATCTATACATATAGACACATTCGGTAGAGGTCCCTTTTAGCCAATGGGATGCCAGGATGATACTTGGTAATAGCCAATGGCAGAGCAGCTATAAGTATGTTGTGTTCAGGAAACTTGGAGCTGTGACGCGCAGCCCATCCTTTATTTTTACCTTTCGTATCTTGAAATTTCTTTCGTAACAAGAGACAATATTTTCCTCTTGAGGCGTTTCGTAACCTGAAAATTTCGGATGAAGAGACGTTCATAAGTAGAGGTACCACTGTTTCTAATATTGTGGCCAGTGGCGTTATGCGTTACCGTTAATCATAACTACATGCTGACAGCGTTTCTCCGTTGTGACAACAGGCGACCCTCTCGAACATTTGGTGAGACACTTCCTCGTCGAAACAGGACCCCGAGGCGTAAAGATTAAAGGCTGTCAGAATGAGCCCTACTTTGGTGAGCTTTTCATCATGTCTCTCCGGGGAAAAAACAAAAACTTTCCAGTGATGAGTTATTGACTTGTTTTAATGTGCACCTGTAGGGAGTCTTACTGCATTAGTCTATCAACACTCCATCACACCCATCTCTTTGCCCTGCGCACTGAAGATCCTCGAAAAAGGTTGGCATTCCTTCATCTTCTAATCTGAACATCTATTGCCCGGGCAGTAAACATGACATGAAATGAATTCAAATGAAAAAGGCTTTAAGTGTGTATGTTACATCATATGTGTCTGGTAATTATGTTCTGCATGTTGTCAGATCTGATAGGAGAGGTGCCAGAGGTTCAGCCCGTTAGCAACATCAGTACTGCTGCTGACCTGCTCAAACAAGGAGCTGGTGAGTTGATGGACCTGCTTATAGACGAGAAGTACACGACGCCATGACGCCTTCAGGAAGTGAAACTATGGGCAGATAGTACTATTTTGTGTTAATATTATTCATTACAAAAAAAAATTACTGTCCATTCAATGGTGGTCAAAGGATGTTTATGGGATCCATCTTGACTGAGAAACAACCTTTTTTTATGTCGGGAAGAAGTTTAGCCTGGGTTGTTGCAAACAATCTTGGCCGCAAGTGTATGGCACTTTTGTGTGCATTTGTTTGAAGTTATTTGTAAGCCATTATTGTGAAGGGCAAAAATGACGTGATTTGGGATGAGAGTTTGTGGTATATTTCCAGTGTAAAAGAATAATATAGCCAATAATATATTTTTTCTGGGGGCAGGGCATTAATTTCTTGTAGGTTTTCACTATTTGTGGCTGGCAAATCGGATCACTGTTTTATGCATCCCTGGCTATAAAAATCGGAGTGAGAAATTCTCTCAAAAGTCCGTCTGCTGTGTTTTTGTTCATCCTGCTTCTCGTCCCGCAGCCTGTAACGTCCTCTACCTGAATTCTGTGGAAACGGAGTCTCTGACTGGCCCACAGGCCATTGCCAAAGCAACAGACGCCACACTGGGGAGCAGCCCGCGCCCCGCTGCCACCGTAGTCCAGTTCAAAGTGACGTCACAGGGCATCACGTTGACCGACAGCCAGCGCAGGTACAGAACGTCCCAAAATCTGTTAAATCATTTGAAGTCCTTACTTTTAATATTAATTGCCAAGTACAGTGGAACCTCTACTTACAAACGTCTCTTCATGTGAAATGTTCAAGTTACTATAGCTGCTCTGCCATTGGCTATTACTGAGCATCATCATCGCTCACGATGCTGATGTTTGCCTTGGACGCTGTCGAAGGATTGTTAAAAGCCGACAAAAGCAAACATCCTTGGATCAGTTCTTTGCAAAAACCACTTCTAAGAGAGAACGTGAACGAAAGAGGGCAAAAAAAACGACAAGGACAGTTAAAAGTTAAATTAATGACCATCATTTTTGTTCTTTATTCTTTTACATTATGCACAACTCTCATTCTTTGTGCAATAATCTAATTGTAACATGTATTTGTTACATATTTTGATGCATTTTTATGCTTCATAAAACATTTTTGTCCGAATTTTGCATAGTTTGGAACGGATTAGGGCATTTACATGGAAAATGCGTCTCTACTTACAACATTTTTTAGTTAAGAAATTTCTTCCAGAACATATTAATTTCGTAAGTGGAGGTACCACTGTAGTTGCTGAAAGATAAATGTCTGTCACCTTTCCACAATGAAAAAAAAAAAAAATCCAAATGCAATAGTTTGGATCTCGATTCACGCAGATGTGTTCTTTCTTGAATTTGGATGAGCAACAGACGGACAAATAAATTAAGGCAGCTTGATGCAACATTAGTTGGAACATCCAGATTTGAATTTCTGTAGAAACGTCTCTGTGTGGCATTTGCATGATCTCTTATGTGCCTGCATGGGTTTTTCTCTGGGTACGCCATCAGCGTGTACTGAACTAAAGTACTTGAATTATCCGTCCGTGTGAATGTGAGTGTGAATTGTTGTTTGCCTTTTAATGTGTCCTGCAATGTGACAGTCAACGGTTCCCTCGTGTCTCTGCTGCGATAGGCTACGGTCTCCCTCAACCGCAATGAGAAGTGCTCTGGAAAATGAATGGATGAATGAATTCAATTAAATTAGCACTAAGCCAAAGCCTCTTTTTATCTTCTGTGGTGTTTTGTCTCTTTTCTTCCAGGGTTTTCTTCCGCAGACATTATGCAGTGAACAGCGTAACCTTCAGTAGCCTTGACCCCAAGGACAGGAGGTGGGCCAGCCCGATTGTTATTGTTTTGCTGCATTTGGACCTGAAACTAACAGAAAAGCTGCAGATTGCACCCTGGATCACTTGACTGCATCTGTTGCTGTGATCTTCGCATGATTTGTTTGTGTAATGTGGGATTTGGGAGTGCCTATATGCATGAGTGTGTGCGAGTGTGTGCGTGTGCGCGCGCGCGTGTGTGTGTGTGTGTCGGTGTGAGCATGCCGGCTGCAGCTGCCTGAGCCTGCTCTCTTTCTCTCTCTTTGAATAGGTGGACTAACTCAGACAACACCACTGTTAAGTAAGTGCTCTGTTTGCTTGGTTACTGGTGTGACAAAGCATGTTTGCGTCATTGTAAATAAAGTCGTGGACGGAGTACAGTCGACCCCCCGCTGTTCGAGGGGTATAAGGACCAGACAGGCCTACTAATAACGAAAATCCGTGTGTAATTGATGGCTATTGAAATGTAGTGATTTTTAAAAATATTATTATTCTTTAAAAAACACTAATAAACACTCACTGTACGTTTGCACGAAAAACTGGTGGGGGAGCGATGGTTTAAAGATTTTGAAAAAAAATGTTCAAAAAATAATGTGAAGAAGCAAATCCGTGTGGGTCGACTGTATTTGGACAAAGGTATTGGGGCACCTGGTGAAACAAAATATTTGTGGTTCGCTAGTCATAACTTTTTGGTGCTCTTTCTGCAATGCCATCAAATGCCACAAGATGTCACCAAAGCCCTGGCTAATAGGAAAGTAGTAAATAAGAGTCAAGGAACTCCATACATCCACCCACAAGTTCGGTAGCTATATTTTTGAAAATTAACATCCACATGAAGATGGCTTCTGTGATAATGGTAATCAGAAGGTGGGTGTCTATTTTTGTCCATTTGGCGTTTCACACTAGCAGGTGCATGGCATGGACCGCATGCCTGACAAACACAGAGTAATTCTATTGCTCAAACATACGTATTGTCGTGGTCAGTCTTTTAATTCATGTTTTGTTGTGTTCTTTATAATCTGCAATACGTGGACACTCCCCGAACCAGCAACATTAGAAGCGCTTACTGTTATTTGGTCCAGTAGGTAACACATAGAGGCGTGGTTAGCATGTCCGCTTCACAATGCTAAGGTTCTGGCTTCGAATTTCGGCTCAGTCGGTCTTTGGAGTTTGCATGATTTCCTTCTGTAAGTTTTCCATGGCCGCTCCAGCTTCCTCCCACATTCCAGAAACATTGACTCTCGTCCAACGGGTCCGTCAGAGTGAATGGTTTTATGTCTTCATTTGGCTGATTGGCTGGCGTGTAAGTTGCGCCTTTGCTAAGTCATCTGGCACAGGCTCCAGCTCACCACAACGCTAATGCGAATGCTAATGCACAGAAAAAGGTTATTTCCTTTGTAAAGACACAATATGAGACTGCACGTACAGTCGACATCATATTCGTGAAGTGAAATTTTGTTGCTGGTGGTTGCACTGTACAAAAGTAATTTGGGACACTGGGGGAGGAACCAGGTTTCTAATTTGGGTCCCGAGCTGAAAAGCTTTAGCAATGTCATCGATGAGACAAGTTGACCAAATCCCGTTACCTGCTTTTCGTTATTCTCTTCCCTCAGAGTTTTCGGTTTCGTAGCCAAGAAGCCGGGCAGCTTGGCGGAGAACGTCTGCCACTTGTTTGCCGAGCTGGACCCGGAACAACCTGCCTGCGCCATCGTCAACTTCATCAACAAGGTCATGTTGTCGCAGCGCCGGTGAACAGGAGCTGCTTTGTTTGTGAGCTTAAGTCCTAACGCCGTTGTTAGGATTCGCCTGTTTGGGAGCTCATCGGACTGGAGGCCACGCGACACGACACTTTCGACAAAAAATGAAGTACACAGAATGTTATAACTCGATTCCAAAGTGGAGGGACTGCGGACTGTGACAACATTTGATCTGGTCTGCCTTGCAACGCTTAAAAAAAAAAAAAAACGGGCTCAGAGGAACTGTTACAAAGAGACCAAAATATTTCAGCCGCAAATGCTCCAATAATAAAAAATTTGATTTGATCGGTCAGTAGCTCGCATCACCAAGCTAAAAGTCTGTTTGGGTACCTTGCTGCAGGTTGGGTTCAAAGGAACACATCAAAAATGTCATGACTGAATTTTCAAGACTCCTTGTTTCTGCAAAATAAGCAGATTGCCGAAGTAGGTCAGGAGATGTGATCAGAGGTGGAAAAAGGAGAATATGTTTGCCAAAAACATTTTGGTATTTCACCATACTTATTTACTTTTTTTTTTTTTTTTGAGTACAGTACATGCTAGGACAGCAACATCACATGTAAACAACTACAACTAGTGTAATTTGAATAATGGGATTATGCTGCATACTCATTTGTTTTTACTCAACAAGCACATTCTTAAGTAGAGACTTTGTTGGATTTGTTGGCCCCCTGATCTAAGTTGAAAACCGAGTGAACCAGCTGTGCGACAGCAGACGACATGCAGGGGCCAACGAGAAAGATTTTGAACGTCACGAAGTTTGAATACTTCAAATCAAAAGAAGACCAAAGAGCTGATCATATTTCGTGTCACGTGTGTACAGTAACTAACATAATCATTAACGACAATCCTGTTACACTCCCCCAACTCACACACTAATTCATGACATGTTGGAGACAGCTGAGCTTCAATAGGAATGTTCGCTTTTTAGCCGTCCGTGTCGGGGGCAGTTTGAAAGTATTTTCGGCAACCGAGTGTCGTTACGTCCGCTCTTAACTGAAGTAACGCAAGTGAAATTGGGGTTGGGGAGGAAAGGAGACGTGAGGATGTACGTTGCAGTGTTATTGTGCTTTGATTGTATTGAGCGTCATTTTCACACAGAGGCCAAAAAATGTACTTAGCCAAAGATGAAGCACTCTTGTATGAATTAATAAGCTTTTCATCCAGCTATATTTTTGTACTTAATGGCTCCTTGTAGCTCCGCTATGCATTTATTTTAGTGTTGCCTTCGTAAAAAAAAAAAAAAAACAAAAAACAAAACACTACATTTATACACAGCAATAATATATTGTGGTCTTTGTATTATATCTCCCATGTCGATCTCTATACGATGTAGTAATATATTTTCACATGCAGCTATAGGACCATGTATGAGACATCACAAAAGGAAACGTTGTTTTGTTTGAAAAGGAATATTCTGCTATTTTGTATTCAGAAAATAGAATAAAGTGAGAATGTGGTACCTTACATGTTTGTGAGTCACTGGTTATGTTTTGTTGCGGTGAGCGGGGGTCCGGAAAAAGGGAATTGAAAGAGTTGATGTTGTTGCTATATTTATTGACATTTCCTTTTATGCTTCTTTATTCTTACAACACATGTCAAAGTCATTATTTTTAAAACATCTGCTAAAATGTTTTAGTCAGAGAAAGCTTCATTGTACAAATAGCACCCCATAAAAAAAAAAAAAAAAAAATTAGACACCTTGATTCTTTGCCTTATGATTGTTCAAATGCACGAATGTTAGCCTCACGTCTTCCTAATCAAACACATAGACGTGCGCTGTAGTTTACAAATTCTTTGCAGCCGGATTAACATTTGTAACCACGAACAGCATTTCCAAAAGGTTTCATTGGGTTTGCATTTCTCAGTCACTTTGGCTTTACGATAGGGTTTGCTCTTCGAAACTGTAGGCGTACTTCTCCTTTTCAACAAGAGTCTATCGCGGACTGGGACAGTCTGCGCAAATAAACATTCTGTCAATCGTACAGTGTTAAACATCGTGGCAAAAAAGAAAAAAAAAAAAGAATAATCATGAAAATAAATATTAAATACACGCTTCCTTCAAGAGTTTATCTTTGGCAAAGACTATTCAACTTCTAATCTACAAGTGCAATGTCTGAGTTTTGAGAATTCTTTTTTTTGTTTGGTACCTGAATCATAAAAAAAAAAACAAAAAAAAAACCCATATAACCTTGTTTGGGAAGCTGCTCAATTCAAGAGGCAGTTTGGTCATGGAACCCAATCATGTGCAAACTTCAACCAAACACTCCAGTGAAGGAATACACCATCCCTCCCCACATCTGTGGTAATGAGAGTTGGCTAGGGGGCCACGAAGGGGTGCCAGTGCTGGTATGTGGTGTTGGAGCCACAGTCGATGTAGTGATACGCTTCCAGGCTGTTCTGGGACGTTCGCACCATGTGTGAGGTTTTCACCGAGGTTCTGAAAACACAGGCAGGGCCGTGCATAAAGACAGCTGCTTGCAAGCACGGCGTGCACAATGTTGACACTGGCGTAGCCCCCGACCATTATTTTTATTCGACAACTGCGCCTTCCAAATTGTGTGATTATCACTTCAAACCAAATTTTCTGAAATGTTTTCTTTTCTGTGAAGATACACTTTGGGTAATGGCAAAGAGGAAAAATATGATGACCACTGAACCAAAAATTTATATCAATGCAACATGGCAAAAAAGGCCGTACATGTCTAAGTAGACCGCTAATTCTCATACGGCTAAGTTGTCAATACCAAAAGACAATTAACCCAAATGTACATCACCAATACTTTTGTTGTACTCTGCTTCAGAATGTCACTGAAAATTGCCCGTCATGATGTCGGTGTCAGATTAATTCAATTTCCATCCTGTATTTAAAAAAAAAAAAATAACTGAAAATACAAAAAGGAGGCTGAACTGCTTTCTGGAATGAACTGCGTGTCAAAAATATTTCTAATTTTTCAAATCACAGCAGAACTGAACAGATGGAATTTAATTCCGGGTGGGTGAATGTAAAGACATACGTACTGCATGAAAACAAGGATGTTGTGGACCTTGATGCTGCGCATGGTGCAGAAAGCACTGAAAAGACACAAAAGGAGACTACAGTGGTACCTCTACTTACGAAATTAATTGATTCTGGAAGAAATTTCTGAACTCGAAAATGTTGTAAGTGGAGACGCGTTTTCCATGTAAATGCCCTAATCCGTTCCAAGCACCCCCAAAATTCAGACATAAATGTTTTCTAAAGCCAAAATATGTAACAAATACATGTTGCAATTAAATTATTGCACAATAAATGAGAGTTGTGCATAATGTAAAAAAAAAAAAAAAAAAGAATAAAAATGATGGTCATTAATTTTTAACTTGTCATTTTTTTTGCCCTCTTTAGTTCATGTTCTCTCTCAGACGTGGTTTTTGCCTGGCGTTTTGTCAAGAACTGATCCAAGGGCGTTTGCTTTTGTCGGCTTTCAACAATCCTTCGAAAATATCCAAGGCAAACATCAGTATAGTGAGCGATGATATGATGCTCGGTAATAGCCAATGGCAGAGCAGCTATAAGTATGTTGCGTTCAGGAAACTCGGAGCTGCGAGTAGCAGCCCATACTGTATTTTTACCTTTCGTATCTTGAAATTTCTTTCGTAACAAGAAAATTTCGTATGAAGAGATGTTCGTAAGTAGAGGTACCACTGTATTCAAATTAAGTCAAACTAAATCAAGGCATCATTTGTATTTTCACTCTTGCGAGCAGCACTTCATCACCAAGCCATCGAATTACACTTGTCAGTTGGTGTGCAGATAAGTGCAAATGGTGCATGCAGCCAACTATTTGTATGCAATCGATAACAAAGTCAATTTTTCATTCTTTTAAATTTTAGCATGGTGACCCGCAGATCTTTAAGACATTTTCAAAAACATTTTCTACACTAGGTACTCCTAGAGTGAAGTATGATAGATCTTTTCCTTCTTCATATCAGAACATTTGCACATTTGTAAAAACAACACACACTAATACGAAATGCTTCCACCCCCCCCCCCCACACACACACACACACACACAACTTGACACTTACTAGACATATGGTGCACTGCTGCCAATCTCCACGCTGACCGTGTAGTTCACCTGTGCAACAATGAAATGAAGACGAGAAAATTGAGCAGACAAAGAGTCCACGTTTGTTGGCGCCGTGACGGCGACGTCTCTAATGACAACGTACCTGACGCTTGCTAAGTGGTAAGATGGTGGTGGCAATGCTAAGCTGACGCGTGCCGATCACCTTCTTCATGTAGAGCACCTGAGAGCTAACACTCTCCACCAACATTGAGAAAAAATTTGGGTTGCTGAAGTTCAGCGTGCTCTGAAAGGAAGATAGAGGTGAGTGCAAAAGACATCAATAACTGCAGAACTCCATATGCATCACGCGGAACTCCTCCCCCAAAAATAGTAGTAATAAAAGTAGTCATTTCAGCCAGTGTTTCAAGTGGACGTTAAGTGTGCTGTACTTCTTTGCCATTTGTCTAAGTGACATCAGGGAACAGTTTTAGAGAGATTCAGTGAGACGTGAGGTCGTGGACCGGGCTGCCGGTCGAGGGGAACACGCACCGTTAAGTTCATCTGGACCTTGTAGGTTGCGGGGTCAAAGTGCACCGTCACCGCACATATCCCATCATCCACCACAATCGCTGTTCGCGGGAAGAGGAAGAAGGCCACCAGCATGGACGCAAGGAAACACAGCACGACGGACAGAACCACGTAGAGCTTGCTGGGATGATGACAGTTCGTACGTTAGGTTGTAACACAAACCTCGACATGCTCTGTTGTTGTGCGTGCGCTGATGACTTACGTTCTTTGAGGCTGCAGCCTTTGGTCGGTATATGGGATCAATGCAACCAATTCATTGACTTGATCTATTGGGGAGAGACAGTGAGACATACAACATGCTAACTATGCGTTTGCCGGCAAAAGCACACATCACCAGAGCCCTTTAAACCACATAATTTAGGCTCAGCAAGTACACTTGTATGATAATTATGATTTGGGCTGCAGCTATTGAATATTTGAGCATTTCGGTGTTCTACTGAACATTCTATTGAATAATCGATGACACAGGTTTCTCTGAGCTTCTCTGAAGATACATTATTAACACTTTAAAGAGGGCCACAGCGAAAGTGGCAACAACAACAAAGGTATTTCCTACTTGAGGATGCCAACAACGTGTATGCTTGCATGCTAATCTGAAATCCGACGGTTTTACTGACCCGTTGGCATGCGTCCACTTCCTTGACACGCCGGGCACGTTATGCTGTCTCTGCCGGTGAACTCCACGTAAGGAAACTGGGCAATGTCTTCGCTCCTGACGAGTCCATCCAGGGAGTCATCGTCGAAGTCTGTCGGCCTCCCCTCACCTGGCCGCCGGTTGCCCTTCAACCTCTCCCGCAGGCTCGACAGTCTGTTGCCGTCGAGGCGAGAAAACGCGCTCCCCATGTCGGACGGCTTGCATGCACTGTCAATGCCTGTTTTTTTGTCTCTTCGTCTGCAGGGTAGTGACAACGAGACATTTGTGCATAAAAAAACTACTTTTAAAGTTCTATTGCGTACAAGCAAACAGATAGCTACCTCTCAACCACCACCAAAAAATAATGCACGGACAGACATAAATCAAAAGTAGCCAACTGTAATTAACTACACCGGAAAGAACTTTTAACAATGAAAGCTTCGACCTCCTCAGTTCGTTTCAATCACTGTCACACGAGGAGCATTCGGTCCGCTTCCGGCAACTTCATCTCATCGCGTTGCCTTCACGTGAGCTACGTACGTTACAACAGCCAATTGTCACTGATTCATTGTTTAGCGTGTTGACGCATCCACTTGCGTTCAGTTTGTGACGTTTGCTTTTAAAATGTTTAGAAATGTTTGGGATAATCTTCGTTCAGTTGTTGTAGTGCGAATCACATGAATGTGAAGATTGTGTTCGTTTCCATTTCCGAGGTACTTTGAATCATCTTCGATTGTAAAACCAGCCCAATACTTCTCAAACCAGCAGCGAACTTAAAAATGTGGGCGCCGCTCTTAAAAGTACACCAAAGGACAAGGTTGACGTTTAGTGCTCATTTTTTCACCGACCTCATTGATGCATTTGAAGACTTATTTATAGCACACGTGGGCAAGGTTTATCGTTAATATTTGTAGATATTTCATATGAGTATAACGACTAAACTTTTTCTTTTAGTTTTTTTCAGGTTGTGACAACGATACAACATAATTATACCAGGGCCACGCGATCACATTTTATTAAAACAATGCAATTAACTTTTTTTTTACCCCCCCCCACCCCATGTGACTTATTTTTATGAATTACACGTTTATTTTCGTACAATTGTGAACAGCGTGCTCCCCCTACAGCTAGTTGAACACAGTCGCGATTGTTACTTTTACTCAATTACCACAAGGGGGCAGTGTCTTCAAAGATATTCACCAGGACTGACTCATACGCAGTGTTTTATTCTGTTTTAATCTCTAAATAATCATTCACAGCAGACAGTTTACCTTCACCTTTCATCATGTAATAATTAAAATCATATAATTAATTGCACTTTTTAATTACAATATTCTAATTAATGCAATCTCGTTTCTGGAATGTGTATAATTAGTTGATTTTTGATATACTGTACTGCTACTCCGACGACGACGACAACGACTACTACTAATACATTCACGTGGATGTCAGCCAAGGCTGTAGGGACTCAATTTCAGCACTGCAGTTTCAGGGCTCAGACTGGCACACTTTAGTTCATTTTTTTTTTTGCATTTGCTCAGGTATCAGATTTTCAATTAAATGTGCTGACAAGATCACAATCGGTTTATTTGAGCAAGTATAAGAACATAAAGAATTAAAATGGGCAAAAGGACAAAAGAGTCCAATGGCAAGGAGACATAACATGGGATAAGATATGACATTTTACACTTTTGCACATTTGGCAAACAATGCAGTTAAGAAGATTAAGGAAGCTAACACAGCCATCCCTGTTAAGGCTCTTTGAAACCTTTTCACACCACAGACTGGTGATCTGTGGTTGTTGGCTGCTAAATGCTATCTTGGTTGACAGTACAACAGACTTAAACAATTCAGTCAGTCCACTCAGAAGGTACTCCAACAAAGGGTGCTCCTTTTTAAAGATGCATAAAAACCTAAGAAATAGATGCTAGTTGTTGTTTTTGTGAAGGCTCTCTGACAATGTTTTTCACTCATTTTGGAAATTCTCATAAATCATGGAAATCATGGAAATATGTTTATAATATCATTTCATTTCATTTGCTTTAAACATATATTTCTAGGCCTCATTGACTACACACTTTTGTTAAAAAGAAGTTTTATTTTTATTTTTTTCAAATGAGTGTTTTTTTTTTTTTTTTTTGGAAACATTATTTTTAAAATTCTCGAATGTGAAACTTGAGCACATTCACTAATCTCTCAACTGCATTGGTGGACTGTTGCTTTTAATATTGCAGCCATCGAGAATTGGGGATCATATCCTTTCATATCGGTTGGTTAGGAGTAAGCTTTGCTGAAGGTGGCTTCAAGGTCGAATCCGGGCACCTTTACGAAGCATTTGTCGAATTCAGGCTATCCTACCCTCCAAACACTTCATCCTGCTCGGATAGGATAGGAAAGGAAAATTCCTTGGCAAAAACGAGTACTTGAAGAGGCCCCGGATTCCCCACCGTGGGCCTGATCTCAACTTCAGCTATTTATCATCAGAATCAGAATCAGAATCATTTTTATTGGCCAAGTATGTAGAACACACAAGGAATTTGTCTCCAGTATAACACGCTGCATTAGTATCATCATAAACAAGTTCATCATAAACTCATCATACTCATCAACATACTCATCATAAACATCAAGTTATGACCAACTGGTTCCAAAACAGGTTTTATGTACATGCACATGACTGTCAGGTACTGTACTGTACTTTTACCAAGCTTCTCCCCACCTCTGTTTGCAACTACTGTACCATTTTTTAAAAGAAATGTTGCCAAAAATTTTCATGGACGGACGCCCATCCTGACTCTAATCCTATTTCTCCAGGCTTGCCTTCCTCCCAAATTGGTCTCCCATCCGAGTACTTCCTACTGTGAAGTACTATACACTAGTGTGCAGAGTGCAGGGAATGTGATTATAAAATAAGTACTTGGCACAGTTTTTTAAATGTATTTGTTTATTTATTTGACTGCTCATCCAACAAAAACCCAAAACTATTTTCTATACAGCCAAGTTCAGTCATTGTATGGGCAACGGCGACACTTGAATGCCAGTTTACGGCGCTAAACTCCAATAGATTTGTTAATTCAGTGCTAATTTGTCTGTGGAGGGAAAAAAAAAAGATTTCGGTTGATTTGCCATTTTATGCAGTTTGCGTCAGAGGGCGCAGTCACATTCACCGCTATTCATATTGAGTTGTTGGGACAAATGTATTTTCTTCACTGCGTGTTAGTGTGTGTGTGAGAGAGAGAAAAGAGAGCGAGTGTAGCAACTTGAAATGCGTTTTATAGCTCTCGACAAATAGCCTTCACACTGGCGTTATTTAGTGCACTTAAAGGGCAACGTTGTCAGGCTTGTCTGACCGTGGTGGCATACCATCCACTTGCCAGTGCAGCAGCTGCGTTGAAAGTCTTTGTAGCAATTTTGGCACGAAAACTAGTCTTTGAAACAATATATACAATTTAAAGTAATTTGAGGAGAAGTTTGATGCAACACGTGAGGATGGAGATACAAATACTTCACCTTATATTCTGAAGCGCCTTATAGTGCGGAAAATACGGTAATTCCATTTCTATTATTTTCAGTGGCAAACTTTTTTTTTTTGCGCTTAAAACTGACACTGAAGCTAGACAAGCGCCCCAGACCAGCTGACGTCATCAGAGGTTCCACTGGAATCAAAGTGATGAACATTTTCCAAAAGAATTGTTAAGTTATGAAAGAATCCAAATAATGTTATGTCAATTTCGACAAGAATCAGTCGTTTCAATTTCAGTGGTGTTGCCAAATGATTTCTGCTGCAGATGTGGTTGATCCCTGAGCTTCCATCTACTACGTGTTGTTGTTGGAAAGTAGTTCAGTTTGAGCGTGAAAAAGATTTGTGTTTTTCTTTTTTTTTTTTTTACTTTTACTACAGTACCATGTTGAATTCTTAGAAGAGCTGGTTGGTGTGTCAGGAAGCAGTAGGCCTGTAACACACATGGAGCTCGGAAAAAAAAAGATATATGGACATAAATCACTGTGTTGGCAACAGGATTTCGCTGTGCGTGTACAGTATATGTGGAAATTTTCCACTGTGGGTTTCACCCTTTCATTTTTTTTTCCTTGAGCGGTCTTGAAGTTTTGTGTGGGGACTAAATGTTCTCAAATGTTCTCTCAAAAAAAGACGGGCAGATTAAAATCTTTGGTGACAAAGCTGCCGTCGTCACTTCCGAATTACATTCTTCTCAAGTTAACAACACCTGGTTCATTTTGTGGCGACACAGTGCTTTTTTTTTTTTTTTTTTTAAATTATAATGAGAATGTAATGAAAGCCTGATGACTTGTTGAGACTTGTTACCTGTTGGGCCATTGAGCGGCCGGAGGGACGGCATGTCACCTTTCAGTAAATACACTGAAGCGTATGCTTCCTGTGTGTGGTTCCCTGGAACCTTTTCAGATATTTGAATTCATCAAACCGCAGTTGGTCCCTGTCAGCCAACTGGGCCCTCGCAGTGAAAGAACCTTTTTGTCTGCCGCCTGTCTGCCAGCAGTCAGAACAAGTGACTCAGTGAATGCGTTTTTTCTAGAAATTTGGACGAATTATCGAGTCGATTTGCACGGACATTCCATCCTTGGTAGAATTGCATGTAAGCACACACTCAGATCTCAACATGACAACTTTTTCGTTGTTACGGCCGCAGTGATACGGTATTTCGAAACAATTTGCCCACTGTGTCAAATTATGTTTACAAATCCGTAACACACGGACCATTTCTTACTAAACCGTCGGGTAAATAGGCGTTAGCGTGCTAAGTATCGAATGTTCTGCAATGAGGGATGGTGTTATGTAACACTCACTTATTAATGTTTAATTCTCATTCCACAGTTGGCAGGTCTGCAGCTTCATTCACATCCTTCCAGTCTGACAAACTTTGCAAAGAAGTTCAAAGAATCACCTGTGTTCACTTTGGGGCTCTCGAAAAGGCCAGCCTTAGGCAGCAGGCTCGATTGACAGTCATTTCATAACATCAGCAAAATTGCACGGCGGCTCTTTCATTTCCTTCAGCCACTTTTCATCTGTTGCTTGGCAGAATGTGAAGACTCATCGGGCTGACAGACCAATGAACAAAATGTCATCATCGACCAGTCATACAAATGAAAGTGATGAATGAAACAAATTGTGGCTGCGGTCAGAAAGCCGGAAGCAACTGGGAGTTTGACGCTCTCACAGCACGAGACAGTAGTCAACAGATTTGTTTTGGATACTGTATATTTCTTGGTAGGGCGGCCCGGTGGACCAATGGTTAGCGCCTTGACCTCACAGTGCAGAGGTACAGGGTTCGATTCCGGCTCCAGCCTCCCTGTGTGGAGTTTGCATTTTCTCCCCGGGGCCTGCGTGGGTTTTCTCCGGGTACTCCGGTTTCCTCCCACATTCCCAAAGCATGCATGGCAGGTCAATGGGACACTGTAAATCGTCCCTAGGTGTGAGTGTGATGGTTGGTTGTTCGTCTATGTGTGCCCTGTGATTGGCTGACGACCGATTCAGGGTGTCC